AACAAATTCTTTCAATCTCCTGCCAACCAAATGTTTTACAGACCGTTACAGACTTATTGCTCTTATTTGACCTTCATATCACCTCAGCCTCTTAAATTTTCGACTCCCTGCATCTCACAACAGACTATCTTTGATATTTCTTACTCTTAGACAAGATATCTCCCAAATCGACCACACCACAGGATGATACTTAGCCAATTTCTAACTTTTCAACACTGATTTATTAAATATAAATTTTGCACAACTTAATAAAGATTTAACTGCTCCTCCTACACATAATTCCTTACTTCCCTAATTCCAATCAATAACTTCTGTTTTTTTTTCTCTTATTTCATAAAATTATCAACATGTCTCTCTTTTTATATACAGGGTGTCAGGCAACTCGTGTCATAAACTTTGCCAGTGAATTTCACACCTCCAGAGTGAATGAACCATGGACCGATTCTCAACACTTTCGCAGATATTAAACATTGTTTTCTCCTAACTATCAACGGTTATCGTCATAAATCTTGTAGTTCCTGAACTCATTTTTGAAAGAAAAAAAAACATTGAAAAGAGCATTGCATTTCCTTTAAGCAGACACCCTTCTAGAACTTTCATTTTAATTTTTGGTAAAAAAAACCACTAAATCTTTTAAAGACTACTAAATTTAAATTTCGTAAAAAAAAAATTGCAATCTGGGAAAAAATCACGGTAGAGGTTGGCAAATTTCCTAAGTTCTTTGTTTAAACCAAAGTGCAGAAATTTTATGATAAATGGGAAAAAAGTAGTGACGGTGTGAAAAAAGGAAATTGGGTTAAACTACGATAGTAGTTCAACTTATTGTCTTGGGCAAAATTTATTTCCCAACCTTAAGTTAATAAAAAAGCACAAACAAAATCAACGTAATTTGTTTGTTCACAATGATTATTTTCTCTATTTTAGGCGTTCTGCTTGATTTTTACTTGAATTTTTCTTTTTTATTAGGTTAAATTTGGGTTTACAGCTTCTGTAATTGTTTTTTTCCTTTCCACTGTGTTTAGTAGTTTTGTCTATTTTTTCTGCTTTAGTTATTCACCAGGTTTATTGTTTCTTTTTTTGTTTAATTTTCTTTTGTTTTCTGTGACGCGAGTTGGCTGACACTGTAAATTCTCTTAGCTGTGATATTTTTCATGTTTTTTTTTAAATTTTTTATAGTGTTATATACTAGATGAATATGCATTTAAAGATATAATTTATCTGTTAAGGGGCTCTAGCGCGTAAAATAAATAAGGCACACAAAGCAATCAACACCGAAAAATTCACTTCTGTGAATAGAACTGTTTCCAAAAAGTGAATTGCCATATTCACCCCATCTCAAATCATTTCTACTAATCTAGTTCTGTTCTTACATTCTTTAAAATTTTCATATAGATCTGTTGTCGCAACAAGAAAAGAATTGATGTTTTATTCATTAACTCCCTGGAAGCTTGATTAGAAACGTTTAAAGCTGTCCTTCTCACAGAATTGTCCTTCGCTTTATTGATTTACAAGCTACAAAAAAAAAAGAAAAAAAGTGCTAAATTGTAGGTTTAATACAACTCAAAACGAACCGCTCACAAAAGACAACAGGACAAAGTCTAATCAAAACATGTTTACTCGAGAAAAGAAATATCAGATAAGCATCAGAGATATGAGAATAAGATATTTTATCATAGTAGGAAATAATTTATTTCACAGTTTGTTTGAAATTCTTCTGATTGGCAAAAGAAAATATGAATATGTTTAGAAAAAAAATTATATTGAGACAATTGACCTAGCAACATTAAAAGGCTCTGGTTAAAACAATGAGCAACACAGTCAAATAAATGTCAATAAACAGCATAACAAGGCTGAATCCACCCGATACTCTTTAACAAACATAGTTAATTGTTTATAATTATATAAAAACAAAAAACTCAACATTTTCATATTTTTTCGAAGTTTTATACTTTTAGACTTGATTTTGCTACTGTGCAGTGTCAACCAAGTGATAATAGACTATCAAGTATGGATCATACATGGCCAAATTGAACAAATAGGAGTGGTATTTTTTTAAACAGAAATGGCTATCCATTACTGACTGTAAAAGCTGGACAAATAAACTGCATTTCTGTTAGCATTAGTGCAGATAAGGTTCACTAGGCCTGAAAAACCATAACAAATTTTCAAGATGAATGTAGGAAGAAACTCCTTGGTACACTGACAACCGACAACCCCTTGGATGAATAGGTCAAGATCATCAATGGCTTGGATTTTTTGTTAATAATTACTAATCATATGGATACTTTTGACATCCCTGAAACCAGCCTTAATATTATAAATTATGTCTTAAATAATCATGGGTAAGGCGAATATGAAAGATAGAAAAACACATTTCCTTCATTAAGCTTTCGAGGAATATGTAGAGTGGATGTGTGATAAATCCTGTTCACTTGATAAAGCAACCTCACAAACTGATCATGATTGACACCATAATAAATATTGTAAATAAATATTTTTATTAGTTAAACATGTAAAACATTAGAAAAATGTCATAGCCTGATTTTTTATACACACTGAGCAACCAAGAAACAACAGGGATTGGAGTTGATTATTAATGATTCTTGGATGATGAACAAAACAAGATAATTAAAACTGGAGTAATTTTAAAGCGGTACATTTATTTTTCTATTTCAAAGCCTCAAATGTTCATCGGTAATGTTATCAATACAGATCGGTTCTTGAATGTCCAGTAGACAGTAAACGATGAAAACCAATTGTGTAATGAATTTACTATTGGCATATATCTAGCATACATGAATGTTAATAATTGTTGAAAGTCTATTATAATTAGTTAATATTGATGCCATTATCAGAACTGACCATCGTTGATCAGCTACAACCAAATACTTTTTTTTTTGTTTAAATAATACCAATATTAGTTGTTAATTTTGACCTTGAAAAGTATTAAGAAAGACAATTTAAAAAAAAATGAGAATTTTACATTAACAACCTGTTGGATGATCAGTTAGAGAATGAACAGGACACACCACCTCTTGCCCGACCAGCACAGAGGATCAATGAAGATAAAATAAATTCTCTGATAGTATTTTCAAATTTAAATCTTCTATTAGTTGATTTTGACTTTTAATTATGTTGAAAATGAACCGTTAAACATTAGTTTTTCAAGAAAGTCATACACGTATTGTTAAATCTTGAAAAGTAGGTTTTATCAGACTGATCACTTCGAGAATGAACAGGACACACCAATTCTTGTATGATCAGCACAGATGGTCAATGAAGATAAAATAAATTCTCTGATAGTATTTTCAAGTTTAAATCTTCTAACAGACCATTTTGACTTTAAATAAGGTTGAAAATGAACCATTAAACATTAATTTTTCAAGTAAATCAAACATATATTTTTTTCCATCTTGAAAAGTTGGTTTTAGCAGACTGATCAATTTGAGAATTAACAACACACCACCTCTTGTATGATCAGTACAGATGATCAATGAAGATAAAATAAATTCTCTGATAGTATCTTCAAGTTTAAATCTTCTAATAGTTAGTTGATACTGACTTTTAATAATGTTGAAGTTGAACATTAGTTTTTCAAGTAAATCATAGATTATTTTTCAATCTTGAAAAGTAGGTTTTATTACTTCAAGAACGAACAGGGCACACCCCTCCTGTGTGACCAGCACGATGAAGAGCAAAAATAAAATAAATTAACTGATAGTATTTTCAACTTGCAATATTATATTCGTTGATTTTGACTGTTAATTATTTAGTAAATCATGTATGTCTGCATTTTTCAATCTCGAAAGGGTTTTATCAGCCTGATCATTTCCAAAACGACCTGGGCAGAATAATCATCAGAATGATCATCCGACATTTTTTGACGATTGCCTCAGAATATGTAACCAATTGTAAACGTCGGATTTCGAGCATTTGTCTCCTAGGTGCTCCCAGGCAATAACAAAACCGGTAAGTAGACCAAACCCCTACGATAATCAAAGATACAAAATTCGAATGATTTTGATTTAGCATTATCGAAAAAAACAATGCTTCCTGGCCGATGACATTTTATTTTACACCGATTTCCATTCAAGTCTTAAATTACAAAACAACAAGAGAAAGACAAAAATGAAATAGAGAAGTACTTAAAATCCTACGCACCTGGAGAATAAGCCATCGGGGAAAATTTGACCTCGCGACTTGTCGTATCTGACGTCGTAATCGTGCTTTTTCACAGTCCGAGACGCAACGGATGACGGTTGGTAATGCTAAAATCAGCAGAAAGACCAGCTTCAAAGAAAATCCAAAGCAGATACTGGCGACTGAATGATACGAAGCGATAGCCCGTTTTTGGTGACAGAGCAATTAACAGTGTTGGTCACAAAGTTCTAACATCTTTCAATTTACCAATCTTAAATGACCCCCCTTTAAAAGTTTACAAATTGCTTTCATTAATTGCTTGAGAAATATTTTTAAGCATTTTAGAAGTTAAAAATGGAAAATTTTTAGTATAATTAGTTCAATAATGAGTTAATATTGAACATTTTGACACAAAGCGCCCCCTCCATGATTTTTAAAATTTGTGTTCTCAAGTTTATTAGTAAATAAAATTTGGATATAAGAATGTATTTTGTACTATAATGTTTCCAATATTATTAATCATAAACTTTTTTAATAAGTAAATGAAATTTTAATCATTCAATAAAAGTTTAGCCTTGTAGCTTAATAAAAAAAAGCTTACAGATGTCAATTAAAAACGCTTTTACTTTTTAAATAAGGGATTTTTTAAGTGTTTTTCTTACGTTACAGTATAAATATGTCAAATACAGAATTGCTCAAAAAGATGGCGCTTTGTTCGCAGGAAAAAGAACTGTTGAGTTTGTTTTTAAACAAAACAACATAAAATAAACGTTAGCCAAAAACAAAATGAGCTTAAAGTTTTGAAAATAAAATTTCACAATGTGATTATTAGAAGTTGTTGATTATCAAGCGAGCATGTGTTAACGGACAGTTCGAAAAGTCAAAACGACGGACCGGATTGGCAGGATTTTGTGGGAGTCCTTTTGTTTTCGCCGCCCGTCCCGCGCAGCCCGCTCGCCCCGCACCCCCGGCCCGTTGCCAGTAGCGGATCTCGGCCTGGACTCACACGTTTTATTAGTCGATCGCTCCCTTTTTTCTTCTTCTTTTTCTTCCGTTTCCCGGAGTTTTTCTCCTCCCCCTGGAAATGCAACAGGGCTCGACGGCGTTCCCCTAGCCGTGGAGGTGAAAACGGTGCGATTTCGGCTATTACAAAACAGGGGGGGGTTTTTCTTTTGTTTGTCCCATAGTTGAACGTTTGCCAATTGTTTAGGCTTTCCCAGCTCTAGGCTTCAGTACCAGAAAAAAGAAAATCAAAGGTAAGTACAATTTAATTATATTTTCAATTATGTCCATCATGAAACCAAGCACCAAATTCTTGGCACTTGGATAAGAGCTAAATTGAATATTTAACTAACATCCTAGCAATATTTTGTTGACAATACAATCTATAAAAAATCATTGAACACTTAAAAAAACCTGCTCATCGTACGTGAAGTATCTTTTCATCAAATAGAGAATGATATCAATTTTGTAATTTCAATACCATCAAATGCTAATGCCAGTAATGTTGCTATGGGCGAGTGATGAATCATTTTTATTTAGTAAAAACGTGCAATTGGTACTTTATAATGAGCCATTTCTATGATCTGGTAGGTAATGATCGTTCATTTCAAAACCAGTGAGTGTATTTTCTGGTAGTAAATAGCTGACTTTATTCAATAAAATCCTGCTCTTGGTACTTGATAGCGAACATAAAAATGTAATGGGAGGTATGTTGGTTTAGGCTAGTGATAAGTCTCTTTTATTTAGTAAAAACCTTCATTGGTTCTTTATAATGAGCCATTTTTTATGATCTGGTAGATAATGACCATTGATATGTTCATTTCAAAATCATTGAGTGTTTATAAAATGCCAACTGCGGAGCTACGCTAGCCCGCAGGAGGAAATGTTTTGGGATGTATAATGTGACCATAGAAGCTTCAACCATTGAAACCTGGCCTATTAATCAAGTTTCTTGATGTGTTTTAGGCAGAGCACGGGGGATACAATAGTTCTTAAAGGGCGCAGTATACCTTACCCTGAAACTATATCTACATCTACATCTATAAAATGCTACTAAGATAATATGATCATTAATTTGTTGTTTTCAAGGCCCTCATCTTTATAAAACGCCCCCTGTTTATATTGTCTTTATACTTTAGTTATTTATATTATTTATACTTATGCTTTATTTAATAAATATACTGCTCTTGGTTCTTTATAAAGAGCATAAAATCTGGGAGGTATGTTGAAATAGGCTAGTGTAGCTAATGATCATTGATTTGTTGTTTTCAAAACCCTCATGTTTATATTATGCTTACTGTGTGGGGATTAGTGANTAGTAAATACTTCACTTTATTTAATAAAAACCTGCTCTAGTTACTTGGTAACGAGCATAAAATCTAATGGGAGGTATGTTGAAATAGGCTAGTGTAGATAATGATAATTGATTTGTTGTTTTCAAAACCTAGAGTCTAGTCAGGTTCAAAATATTAAAACGTTTGTTTCTAGTCTGAATAAGTACCACACTGGCTCTTTTTTAAAATAAATTGTTATAAAATATTAATGACTGACGACCACTTTTTTAACCATTGCGTTAACTCACCTGAGGAAGGATTCAAATAAATCCGAAACGTTGTGGATAAAAACTTTTTGTGGTTTTTTGAGATGACCTATTATCCCACCTTCAAGAAGGAAGAATCATAAGATTAACTGTTGAGGTCAAAATATAAGAAAACATCGTTTTCAAAACCCTCATCTTTATAATATGCTTACTGTGTGGGGATTAGTGACCGTTAGACGATGATTTTTCGGAAATTGTGAGATGCGGTCTGGTGTGATGTAGGTTTCAGAAAAATGTTTTTCTGAAACCTACAGCACACCAGACTGCATCTCACGATTTCCGAATAATTATGCTTACTATTGATATTGTCTGGTCCATTATGATATTTAACTTGAAAGCTAATTGCAGAAATGTTTATACGGGCTAGTAGTAATTTGTTATTCTTAAATATCTCACTATAAATAAATATAGTAAAATCCTGATCTTCGTACTTTGTAAGAGCCATTTCTATGCTCTGGCAGATAATCATTGATTTGTTTGAACCATTGAGTGTTTATAAAATGCTATATTTTCTGGTAGTAAATACTTCACTTTATTTAATAAAAACCTACTCTAGTTACTTGGTAACGAGCATAAAATCTAATGGGAGGTGTGTTGATATGGGCTAGTGATAATTCGTTATTATTTAGTAAAAATTTATAAAATGCCAACTGTTTATATAGTCTTGTAATAAATACTTTATTTATTTTAAAACATGCTCTTGGTACTTGATAACGAGCATAAAATCTTTTTCTTTATTTAGCTAAATTATGCACTTGGTACTGATAATGAGCTTTTTCTATGATCTGGTAGTTAAAGATCAAATTTCATAACTACTAAATCTTCATAAAATGCTAACGATACCTTTGTTGGTATGTGCTAGTATAAGGACTTATATACAGTTTTGTATTGTATCGGGTCAACAAACATCAAGTCGTCATCACCAGCCCTCTACGATATGAGCGAAAATTCTTCGTTTTTGTTACTATACTGACTCTCCCATATTTTGTCTCCTGTTTGCTTAACTTGCTATCCTCTCGAAGGTAGCTGAGGTCGTTTTTATATAGTAAAAACCAGCTTTTCATACATTAGAATTACTCTTTTTCTGTGAACTGATAAATAATGATTATTGCTTTTTTAATTTCAAAATCCTCATCATCATAAAATGCTAACTGTTTGTATAGTCTTGTACTAAATACTTTATTTAGTAAAAACCAGCTCTCATACGTGAGAACGGCTCTTTGTGTATGATCCGATGATTGTAACGGGCAACGGTTTAGGTGTTGACAGGGAGCTCATCACTGTAAGGTAAAGGTCCCGGGTTCGAATGTAGGGCTGCTGGTCTTTCTTCTTACTTGTCCTCTGGATCTTTCTTTTTACTCACATATGGGCTTTTTTTCCTTCGTAGTTGAAATACCCTTGTTAAAAAAAAATTAACAGGACATATGAACATAGTGTATATGAGTAATAAAAACATTAAAAAGTGCCAAAGTATCTTATTTAAAACATAAAAAAATAAATAAATAAAATTTAAAAAACTTATTGGTATGCACCAAAGTTAGGGTTTGTTTATTTTAAAATATTAGGAATTTGTTAATACAAGAATTATCCTGCTCAGATTATTTCAAAGTGTATATATGCAAAATTATTTCACTGTATAATATATACATATAAATCCATAAGACCTGGTTTTGGTAATACTATAATTCAGTATTGGGATTTGTATGAGTTTTGTGAAGTCTTTTATAAGACCTCCCACAGATTGCAAAAAGAAATCTCACAATTGTTTAAATTTATCAAGACACCACTATCAGTAATTCTTAAGAGTGGTGATAAATGGGTTGGAAAAATTTCCAGTAATGGTTACAGCACATGCCAAGCAATAGGATATATGTACGTAAAGTTTCTTAAAACAGTGGGGCATCTAGACCACGACGTTGTTTACTGTGGCCACATTTGTATCTTGACTATTTATTAATGAAGGGCTTAAGTAATATCACCTATCACCAAACACTGAGGAGATAGGAGGGTTATGCCAATGGCAATTCCATCTCTTCAGGCAGTTTGGTTGATATAATTGAAGCTACATCATATAATTCAGGTTGCCACGATCACAAATGTTGAATTGCCTGAAGTCTATCAATTTATCTGAATAAATTGTAGTAGTTTGAAGCCTCTGATTATTTTGGTGTGCCCATCTCTCTCTCTCTCTCTCTCTCTCTCTCTCTCTCTCTCTCTCTCTCTTTTTTTTTATTTTCTTTTTTTTTTTTCATAGCATCCGTATTGATGGTTATGAGTTCAAATTTCAGCATTGCCCTTAGAATTATAAAAATTATTGTAAGGTTGTCTGATCCCCTCGTCCCCGACACTTAAAAAGGGTAGTTGGACAAATATTGATCTTGACAGTTGTATAAATAAATGCTTGGCTCTTACGTTCATATTGGTAAAGATAAGGATTCTATTACTACATCTAGGAATATTTTTTGATAGTGAACCATTAAACTGGCCACATTTTTAAGTAATTTTTTCTTTTTATCTCGTACAGATGAACTTTTCATGAAATTGGCTGAATATAAATCTAAGGGGTGGTTATGTGTTATATATGAATATTATGGCTTTTTTTGTGTCTAGATTTCATTTAAACATTCATTTTCATGTGGTTAATTAATAGATTGAACATTAGTATGCTTAGCATATTCAGTTTATGTTCACAACTCCTATTCCTTGGCTCCATATAGAGAGAGTTTAGGCATGCCACCCAATATGGGAATTGTGCTTTGTGAAAAAAAAACGTGAATATTGGAGTCACCTGTTCAGATTTTTAGAGAAAAAATAATTAATTTTACTGCATATTGAAACTGACTGTATTTATTAACGTGAATGTGAGTGGGCCGATGGTGGAATATTGATACTCCATCACCTGAGTGAATGGTATGTAAATAAGAAAAAATGTATTTTAGAGTGATTGTGTTTGAATTTTAGACGCTGATTAGATTGGTGGCTGATTAATGCTAATTTAATCATCTCAGTGGTTGGACAAATAAGACTGAAGTCTGACTCCAGACTCAACACCCTAGGTGGGTGATTCTTTGAGGCCTGCCAGTAGTTTACTGTAAATTACACAATATCTGGAATTGCAGTATACTTGTGTATGTACATGCATTAGCCTGAATTGTTGTGGATCTATGTAATGGATATAGCTTGACATTTATTATTCTTCCCCTTACAAATTCTCCAATTTTTTAATACGTGATTAATTAATTTAATTAGAGGACCGTGGTAGCCGAGTGGTTAGCATGAGAGACTCTCGCCGCGGTCGTGGGTTCGATTCCCACCGTCGCCTCTGGTCCTTTTTTCACGATAATCCCCCCGATTTGAACACACATATAAGAATTGTCACCATGGCTAATATGCATAGATCATACCGCAAAAAAAAAAAAAATAATAATTTAATTACAATTTTGTATATACAACTTGGCCTGCTAGTTCCAATGTCCCTTGTAAGTTCCCCCCTCTGTTAGTTGCATTTTTGGACCCACAATTAATTATTAACTGTTTCAATTTGTACACAATACAGTGCGTTTTTTCAAATAACATGATTTTGCAATTTGTTTTTTAGATGTCTGAGGCAAGGAGTAGTCCGTATCAGTCCCCGATTGAGGATGTGTTTTCTTGGGCGATACCAAACGAGCAAACTAGAAAAGATAAGTTTACAAAGAGAAAATGCGAGGATGATAGTGGTTATACAAGTCCTCTTTCAAGCCTCAGATCAAACATGACCCATACTCCTTTTCGGCCGAGTGGTACAATGTACAACACTAGCAGCGGGGAGATGTCGACTTCGTTCTTAAGTTTTAATTTGAAAAAAAGAATGATGGGCGATCGCTTTGAAAGTCAAGATGACATATTGACTGATAATTCATCCTTGCCCGGAGTGAGTACTTACTCTGAATTTCTGATGGATGCATCTTTATACATGGAGCCCATGGAAACAAATACAGATTCCATTTGTTCGCCGACAGATCAAAAGGACCAAGATTCGTTGCTTCTCATGGAAGTGTGTAAAGATATAGATGTAGATCTGACCATAGAAAGTGGCCGTTATGCTACACCAACGAGTTCCTTCCAGATTTCTCTCACTCCGACTAAACTCTCAAGAAAAACGTCCCCGAGAAAAAGATCTCCGAAGAAGAATCTGTTGAAATCATTTTCCCGATCAAGATCCTTGTACGGATTTGAAAGGGTTGACTTATTCTTCCAGCTGGGCGGTCGAGCAAACCATAGTCTTGTAATTTCAAAAATCCTCGACTATCTTTCCGATGCAGACATTTCCAGTATGACTATGGTATCAAAAACATGGAAAAACATCTGCCTATCCGACCCAAAAGCCAAATCAAGATGGCTTAAATATATCTCACATAGGAGGAGTATAAAAGAAAATCTAGGGAAGGTAAGGGAATTAGTAAATACATATATAATTTTATTTGGGCTGAACTTTATTTTCATTTTTAGGTCAAGTACAAAGAAAAAAGAAACTTAGCTCCTCTTGTCCCTAGAAATCACAGTACACCATTACAAACCAGGCAAAGTACTTCACCTCCAATCAGTCCAAGCAAAAGGCGATTTCATTTATTTCAAAAGGTAGTAAGGCATTTTGTTTTGTTTTTGTTGTTTATTTTCACCACCAAAATGTTATTACACAGATTTAAATTTCAGTGAATCTTAAATCTTGAAACTTAGGCTAACAGTTATTGAAAAAATTTTAAGTCAAGAACCCAGTAACAAATAATTAAAATATGTTTTAGGAAGCCAAAACTCTCAAGGAAAATGAGATTCTTATGCAGTGCCCACGTTGTAGGCATCCTGCATCGTGTTCGTCTTTGCTCAAAGTCGGAGAATGTCGTTCAGAATTATGCAAGCAGAGGTTCTGCAGTATGTGCAAAGGTGCGGAGCACAACGGGAGAATGTGTCTATCAATCACACCTACGACACCGACTAAGCGAACATGTTCGGTCAGTAGTAAACAGAGCAAAAGGTACCTGAGAAGACTGTGACACCGTCTAAAATCTACAGTACAAAATGAGTATTGCTCAATCATCACGTTCCAGGAAAAGAAGTCTCCTCATTTGCGGAGACCACGCTTACTACTTGATTAGTGTTTTAAGGAATATTTTTTTATACATCAATACGCTAAATCAAAAGTCGATTTAGTTAGAACAAATGTTTAATCCTTCGACCAAATTTAAATTAGTGAAATTAAAGCTCGAAATTATACGCATGATATTAAGGAAATAAGTTCCTCGCGAACAACTTAAGAGCTTTTATCTTTATCTGTGATGTAATTTTGTATATGTTATTAATAAAAGTTTCCTTTTCTTGGCAATATGCCTTGCATGTATTTTTAGTGTTGAGATCTTAAGTTAAAAAAATAAAAAAAAATATAAAAAAAACCTATTGAGAGCTCTCTATAATACTTTATGCCTCTGCAAAGGTGTTGTTTAATAGGAAAAAAAATGTATTTTTTGTATTTGCAAATAATTTTGAAAAAAATAACAGGTTAAAACCTGGAAAATGCAAATTTTACTGTTTGAAATATCTTTAGATAAAGTTCTAGGCTATATATGGTTATTTTTTATTTATAATTTTTTGCTTTTGTGTAAAAAAATTTTAATATATGGTTTCAGTATCTTCCTCATAATTCTCTTTTTCATATCAACAGTCCTAATCACAACCAAGAAAGATATGCAATTTTAAACTTAAAGACAGGTGGAAGTTTGATATATACCGTTTATCTCAAGACCGTTCGTACTTCTCTAAAATTGCTGCTGTGCTAGGATTTACTTTGGCTAGGTTATCGGGAGCAAAGCCTACTGTATCCATTATTTTTGTTCTTTAGTCGTAGTGTTTATTTTCTTCAATGTTTTGTGCCATTAAGCAGCGAACAAAGTTTGATATTGGTGTACATTCTGAATGATTTCTGGGTGTCCTTGCATTCCAAATATGTTGGTTCATGTCTTAATATTTATTAAGGCTTATTTATTAACAATTAATGCAGGTCAGAAATGTTCTGGTCTTTTTTGGTTTGTACTCCAATCATTTATTTTCTTGGAAAAGGGGCAAGCAAAGAAATAAAGACAATGTATGAAAGAAAGGTTAATTTAACTCTGTACAAAATATTTTACACAAATGATTGAACATTTCATTTAATTGTTTCAAATATAAATAATGTGTAATTACTTAAGGCTAAATATTGGATATTTTATGTACAATCAGTGACTAATTTAAATGGCCACGCATTAAAAAAAAGAAATGAAATTATAAACTTTGAATAATATGAAGTACAAATTAATAAAAAGAATGTTCAGTTCATTTCAAAGGCGAATTGAGAGTCTAAATTAAGATCACAGAATATCAAATCAAGTACACACATTCTAAAGGTTGAACAGTCGCTTAAGAAACGTAATTCAAACGTCTGTATCACTTATCAGCAAGATTCTATCCAAACCCCATCACAAATTTTGGTATTTGGGAAGTGTAAGATGGTATCGCCATTATGACAGACAACCTAAGAACAAAAATTGAACGGAAATAAAACAGTGAAATTTAAACATAAAAGAAGGACCTAAATCGACAGTGTTGTTTAATACTCACCGGAAACCTCACCGCTCCTCCACCAAGTAATAACGCCACAAACCGCAGTGTCCCATGCTTTGATTGTAAAATGAACCAAGCCACGTCTAAATAAAAAGTATTCCATCTCCAGTACTATACATCTTTATTATCTTATTTAAGAATGGATATATATTGGGTTTAGAATGAAATCTCTCCAATGTTATATTTTTAACTGTTTTTATTGCATAATTTTTTAAACAATTTTTTTTAAATTACAAAACAGCTTATGGAGTATTTCATTCTTTTCCCTACAAACAATAAGGAAAGTATGAAGAAATTTTATATTAATATGGTTATTTTAAAAAAAACTATTTGTTTTGCTAAAAAAAACGCAATAAAAAAAGAAGAGCTAAAAATTTAATAAAGGATTATGTAAGATAGTGATAAATGGAAGTAAGCATAAAAAGTAGGAACATTAAACTACATATGTAATTTATTATAAACAACTGAAATACAACTAAAACATATGTTTTTACTGTCATAATTGTCCATAATAATACTTTTTATCAAAAGGTAAAAAAGCAAGTCAAGAGCAGGATTCGAACCCATAACCATCCGCTTCGTGGGTTTGAATCCCGCTCGTAACATTAGCTTTTTCATCTCAACTAAGACCTTAGATAAAAAGTATAATTAATACAAATAATAATATTAGATACAAATTATAATATTTACAAAAGATATTCGTGCTTGTTTTTACATTTTTAATTATAATATCAACTGTCATGCTTAAACAATTTCCTTCACCAGAGCTATTTACAAATGTGTAACAAATTGTTTATTGTGTTTACTACATAGTTTACTACAAATTTATATATACTGTGGTTTGTGCTTTCTTTCATTTATGTATAGGAATCTTTATTGTATTATCTTGGTTCTGTCATTTATGAATTACCACCAGACCTGAAAGTTACACTGAAATTAATCGAGTTATAATTTTTGTTAATAATTTAAACAATTTTTTTGTTAATATTAAAACAAAAAAATGTTAATAATTGAAACAACAAATTAGACTCGAAAGTGCCATATGATATATTTTCAGACTGCCACCAATTAGAATGGCTTATGTACAAAAAGAAAAATTCGCATTGGCATTTAGCAAGTACCTTAGACCGTAAAACCAACATTGGAAAGGTTCAATTTACCTTAAACCTTTTACTACACAGTATTTAAAGTGTGTATATTTTAAATTTAAACTTAAAACATAACTTATTCACCAAACTTTTTTATTATATACAAAGTCAGAATTAAAAAAAAAAAAAAAATTAAAATCTGTAGTTTCTAGATCTAATTATGTCCAAACTTATACATGCATATTTTACAAGTAATCATTGAAATTTTAAAAGTTTTATTTCACAATTTGCATTCGTAAACCGACACCACTTGCTCTTCCTCAGCCCTATTGAATCAACTTGTTACATACGATAATGCGAATGAGTTGTAAAGCCATGCTCTCCATCCGGTTCCATTAGAGTTGACGATTCTCGACTCGACATCCTGACACAATATCTTTCGGTCGTGCGACCTTCCCGATCTGAGATCGCACAACATCCTCTTCCTGCATTCATAATCGCAGGTCGGCTTGACGGGTGAATTTTTCCAATAGTACCTAAAATGTTAAAATTGTAGGTCTGCCTGTGTCACTTTCCTCTAGTAGTCACTTACTTATAATACAAATTGAATGTCGTTTCGTTGTCGACCATTCTGTTCAGTAAGTTATCCCACTCCTGAGGTACTAACGACGGCATGTGGAAAGCTTTCCTGGTCGTGTATTCTCGATACCATCTAGGGTAGTTGTAAAGATTAGCCTCTTCAAGGTTCATGACCCATGTTTCATGATCGACCACAGCCTGCAGATAAAAATGTGCTGATAAATGAAGTTCAATGTTTATGAAAGAAATGAAACATTACCCTAGTAGTTTTATCATGATCGCCATCGATGTAATATATCCTGTAGCCAGGGTTTAGGTCATAGTACGGTGTTACAGATGGTCCTATATATGCAATGTTGACTGCCCTGCTCATATCTTCCTTATCGTAAAAGACCTCAAATTCGTCATAATGTGTATGACCAAAAAATTGAGCCGTTATTGTATTTTCATATCTACAAGAATATAGCAATATTTTAGTTTTTTTAACATTTCAAACTGTGGAAAAAACCTACCTGTTGATAATTGAATAATAATTTTTGGACCATACTTTCAAACAGTCACTATGTCCCGGAGGAATGTGACCGATAACGTGAACTTTTTCTTTGTTAAATTCCGCACTCTGAAGTTCGTAAATAAACCACTGTAATTCTTTAACAGGGTCAGTACTGTTCAAAGCGAGCCACCTAACAAGAAAAATAAAAATTCAAATTATTCTGAATTAATTGAATTTGTATTGTTCATCTGTACCAATTTTTGTTATTGCAATAGTTCATGTTCAAAGAAATTATCCTAAAGCCGGGTCTAACTAATACTGAATAAAAAGCGCCTCTTCTGACAGTCCTGGAGACGTTATCAGGTAACCACTTGCGCCACTCCTTGTCCATTTCGTCATAAAGCCAGTTTATTGCAAATTCCTGAGGTACTGATACTGATGGAAAGCTTAAAACAACAATGCAATCAAATTGCTTTTTTTTGTTTAAACATATTTAATAAATTACAATTAATTAAGGTTTTTAGTTGAGATAAAAAAGTCAATGGCACGAGCGGGATTCGAACTACTTTATACTACTTCGAACTTTTTTATCTCAACTAAAAACCTTAATTAATTGTAATATATTAATTGGTCAAGCGGACCACGAAATTAGTGAATTTAATATTTAATAAATTTTAAGTTATACCTGTTGACAGGAGCGGATTCATGATTACCAAGAGCAGGGAAAATGGGTATTCCTGGGAAATGATTTATCATCTGTGCGGTAGATTCTTTGATCACCATTAAATTCTCTTCCCTCGTTTGATTCCATACATCATGAGGAGGGAGATCTCCTGTCCATAAAATGTAATCTATATCCTTAAAAAAAGAAACAATGAAAAAACATTTCACAAAAACTATATTTATTTATGTTAAAAAAATCTAACTGGATGTGTATGCGCAATGTGCTCTAGCATGTTGTCCACTGTCCTCTTTGGCGTGTCGCATTTTCTGTAATCTCCCCATCTGCCAGCGGCGGCTTTTTTATTGGGTGCGGGCCCATTTGTGAGCCTGCAGCAAAGCGGCTCATTGCACTCAGCATTAGAGCCTTCATGATAGTAAGGATCGTAATGTGTATCTGACAAGTGTAAAACTTTAAAAGATGGAGCGCCATCCTGGCAAAATAAAAAAATTGCTTTATGATTATAATTTTTTTTAAATAGCCTAAATCAAATCTAAAGAAAAATAGTAAAAATAATTATCTCAATGAGTACTTAATTCTCATAGCACAACAGCATGGGATTTTTAAACATTCAACTGCCAACTTGGTGTAAAATACAATTACTTAAATAACAATTAATTCATAGGCCTACCTTGGGGACCGGCATTGGTACAGGGGTTGGCTTGGGAACCGGGGGGAAAATCACATCCCAGTCATGAGTCGGGTTGAATACATTGCCACAAGCATCGCCAATGATCAGGCTACAAACTTCATCAGGTCCTTGCTGAATTCGCTTCAAAACATACACAACCTGATCCTGAAACAGAAATTTAAATATAAATGAAATTATCCAGATTTCTAGTTAGACTATTTAAAAATAACTTACAACAAAAAGATCAGTGATCCCCTCGCAGACTCGAGTCGTTTGTATTTTCAAACTGACACAGAAATTAACCGTCACTTGTTTAATATCCTCATTCGTTTTACCATTTCTTATGTAGTGCTGCAATAGACCTACACCTGCTTTGCAAGCCGTGCAGGAAACTTTTGACATGACGCTCGTTTCAAGCTCAGTCATTACTTGTTTAGTGTTAAAAAATTTGAACGCCTTGTCGACAAGGCTCGGGATCCTTCGAGCAGAAGCATCTTCTGTATCTTCAAGTACCTCCGTGTAGTTCACCTTAAAAATTAAAGTACAACTTGTGAATTAATTACCGATAATCTTTGAATATTGTATTTTATTGTATCGACGGTCAGATCACTTTTAGTTATTTTACATATGTTCTGAGTCTTTTATTTATTTTATTATATGTGTATGCTCTGTCTTGTGCATTTATTTCAACTTTATTGGTTTTATTGTAATCTATAAAATATATTATTACTGTAATATTGTAATCTATAAAAAAAATTGTCATTATTGTAATCGTGCTTTCTTTTTATAAAATAAATTTTTTTTCTACTTTTATTATAGTCGTGTCTGCACTGCTAAAGTAAATCATGTTTTTGGGCTTTGTTTTTCTGTAATTTTTTAAATACTCTATCTGAAATAAACATTACTACTATTTATTTCAATTAATTATTCTTTTTATGTAAGGTCTTGGTTGAGATGAAAAAAGTTAGTGTCATGAGCAGGATTCGAACCCAAGACCTTCGGCTCAATACGACGCTGCTCTAACCACTGTCATGGCTTCTTAACTATGTTTCAAATATATTTTCACATTTCAATCATTCAAAATCATCAATATTTTTTTAACATTCCACAAGCTGTTCCGAAAATATTGGTACTCAATGGCCGATTAATCAAGTATACTAGATGTGGCATAATTTACCAATTGCTTTATGAAGACCGATGCTCAAACAACTAAAACTTCTTCTTTTATTTTTCGTATTACATGTAATAACGTCAGATGTAATACATAATTAGTTAAACAGTTCAATTCTCAATGTTTTGAGACAATTTTTTATTGTTGTTATGATGGCAAGGCTCAGCGATCGTTTACTGTAATCTATAAAATATATTATTACTGTAATATTGTAATCTATAAAAAAATTGTCATTATTGCAATCGTACTTTCTTTTTATAAAATAATTTTATTTTCTACTTTTAATATAGTCGTGTCTGTACTGCTAAAGTAAATCATGTTTTTGGCCTTTGTTTTTTCTGTAATTTTTTAAATACTCTGTCTGAAATAAACATTACTATTATTTATTTCAATTAATTATTCTTTTTATGTAAGGCCTTGGTTGGGATGAAAAAGTCAGTGTCACGAGCGGGATTCGAACCCAGGACCTTCGGCTCAATACACTTCAAGCTCAAGTGGTTAGAGCAGGGGCGTATTGAGCCAAAGGTCGTGGGTTCGAATCCCGCTTTACACTAACTTTTTTAGTAACTTTTTCATCTCAACCAAGACCTTACATAAAAATAATAATTAATTGAAATTAGTAATTTTGTCAATTATACTAAGTCAATTGACTAAGCATAAATGGTTACTATTATTATTAATGACCTCTCAATAAAAGGCAATGATTCATAGGTGTACAATACAAACAGTATCACTACTGACAATATTTTTTTAAAAGTTATACACGCAAGTTTATGAGCGAAATTTATATACAAAACAGCGAGATTGTATTAAGTTCGCCATTAACAAAAGATTAGTTAAACCAGAAATGCTTTATTCTACAGACGAAAAAATTTTGTTTAATCTTGAATTGGATGAAAAACGTAAAAGTTTTAAACAAAATTTCGAGTTGAACTTTTTGATCGATCCTAGTTGTATATATCTACTTATAAAAATATTTTTGGTAGGGCCCATTATTTTTTATTTATTTTTGTGTGGTCCACGTGAACCCCGCGTCTAGAAGTTTTCCTTCGCCCGAAATATACTTACATGTAGTTTTAAAAATTCTTTCGACGTCAACGCTTCAATGTCGTTCGCCGACGGTGGTAAAAGGTGAGTCCGGTTCTGCGGCTTCAACAGGGGGTTTGAATCCCCTTCGAGCAGCAGGAACTCTTGCCATTGGTCGTTCTTCCACTCAAGATTTCTTACTGGACTACCTATAATTATTTCAAATATAACGAAACTGTTCAAATAGTCTCAGATTGTAACTATATTTTCCCTTACCTGTAGTTGAGGAACATAGCGCGTTGATTAACAGTAAAGTAACAAAACAAAAGTGTCGTATTTCATGTCTTATGTGCATAATACCCTGGAGCGCGACAAGTGGTCAAAATCCTAGTTTTGTGTGCTGCAAAAAAACAAAAAAATCGATGTATTAACTTTGTTTTTTTATTAATAAATAAATAAAACAAAACATGTTTCTACTTTATAATTAACACGAAAATTTGGTCCTAGTCATATGAAGTTCTCTTACTTTGTTTTAACCTCTTGTATTTTTGTTAGATTTGTGCAGTTTTTATTATATATTGTTTTCTTTAAAAATTTATTGTCGACGTAAAGCCGTTATAAAGTTGTTGGAAAGTTATGTATAAATTATAAAGATTATATGGTGGAAAGCCTATTTCACATGGCACGTCCGGTATAGACTGTTCTGTCCTACATCAGATCTTCACAATTTCAAATCATTCCTCGCTAAATAATGTAAATAATGTGTGGTGATTAGTGACCGTTAGTCGATGATTAGTCGGAAATCGTGAGATGCGTTCTGGTGTGATGTAGGTTTCAGAAAAACTTCTTTATCATGCCAACGTTTCGATCTTCATTGAGATCATCTTCAGGGCTTGGGATTTACAAACATTGTTTAAATTTAACAAATACATGTAGAACGTGTAAAAATGTGAATTTATACAATGAAAAAAAAAATTTATATTCAATCGAAGTATTTACGCAGAAAACCAACACTGAGGGAGTATAAATACTTTGATTGAATATAGAAAATATTTTTTGCATTGTATAAATTCACATTTTTCCACATCCTACATGTATTTGTTAAATTGAAACAATGTTTGTAAATCCCAGGCCCTGAAGATGATCGCAATAAAGATCGAAACGTTGGCACGATAAAGAAAATGTTTTTCTGAAACCTACATCACACCAGACCGCATCTCACGATTTCCGAATAATCAATGTAAATAATGTCTAGAATCAGGAATTTATCACTGTGAGGCTCTAAATGTCCAAGTAGATCTGACTGTTCATAGTGTTTTTTTGAGGTATTTTGCGTTTTAATCCATTTCGATCATTTGGTTACGTAGCAGTTACATACTAGGTTTTGAATATTTTTATTTTTTAGGATTGGTTCGGTGTCGTGATTAATTATTCACTTATTGTTTATATTAAATTAAACTGTTCAAGAGACGCCGAAAGATGAACATGGCTTACGAAATTGAAAAAAATAAGGTTGTCCAATTTAAAAAAGAGTGGGAAAATCATTTGTTTCTTAGGAATCTTTTGGAATAAACGTTTCGAAAGAAGGAACTAATTTTCCCTCGTTGAAGAACCCTTTCTTTTGCAGACGGAAAAACATTTTTGTGTAATCAAGAAGTTTTTTAAGGACCGTTCAGAACACATGTTAGACTTGTGAAAACTAGGACCGTGACACGACTTATATAAATTGCAGTTTTACCTAGTCGGAGGGCCAGAGAAAAACTAACGACCCCACGTCCAGAACGTGCGCAACGTTTTTCCGTCTAATAATTAACCGGAATGCGATGTTGTACACGGTTATTGTACCCTAGGAGAAAGCATGACGGATCAACATTTCTGTCAATTAAATCTCATGTTGGAGAGGTCCTTGACATTCATTTCGACACATGCTCGAACCTACACCTGGGCCTACTTCGATTTTAGATATAAAACTTGATATCAGGAATTTTTTTAAATTCCACTTCAGAGTTCATAAATCACACAAGCCGTACAAAAGAGAATTCCAAACCGAATTATCATATGAAGGATTTATGCATATTTCGTTTATAATACAATCCAGACAATATTTGTTTTAAGTTCGTTTATGATTTTGTTTTTGTGTCAATAAACCATTATACAAATGGCATTTAAGTACCCGAAGGACGGAGCTGACCTATTTTGTCGTCAACAATACCGTTATAAAAGAAGACACGTTCTAAGAGTCTTCCTACATATTTCATATCAAGTTGATCCATATTCAGCTTTTATCGTCCTTTGAAAACTGCTTTCTCCAATCTGATGGATTTTTTTTATTAAAAAAATTTTACACATACACAATCGTGTTTAAATGTTGAAATCTTTAGAAAATATCTCTTGTTCTTTAACTATTTAGTTTCAAATTCCATACAAATAAGAGAGATAATTTAATACTAGCCCAAAGATTTTCTCCGCTGTTTGTATATTATTATGAAATAGAAAAATTTGTCAGATTTTTTTCTACATCTGAAGATTCTACCTACAATTTTACTCAAGTTTATACATTCAGCAATTTATTTCACAAATTGAATTTATGTAAAATGAATATTTCAAACTTTTTAGGTAGATTAAACTATACCCATTTTATTGCCTGATTATTAGAATATTACTACGATCTGTTCATTTTTTTATCATTAAATATTACTCTTACAAAATTTTAAATGTTCGAATTTCTAGAAATTTTTTTTTCTTTCTTATATATGATTTCAAATTGCATAAAAAATAATATAATTTCTTATTAAATGGGATGTTTTTTAATACTATTCCAAATTTTATTTAATTATTCGTGGATTAAATTATACACTATTTTCACAGATTCATTATTGGATCTGAAGATTCCTGAGCGATAAATCCTGCCAGTAAAGCTATCTGCAGGAAATAACACATGAAAGGAATAATCTATAATATCTATTTATGTTTGATGAAAACTAACATCAAATTTGCTTGTCAATTTATACAAAATAGTTCAACAAATGGGAATTTATTTTAATTAGAAACGCGCAAGTTGTTAAAAAAAAGGACGTTATATAATACTTTTTAAATTTATAATAATTTTTGTTAAGGTGTAAATCATATTTTTCATGCACGACAGGTTTTATAACTGTTGTTTCAAATATAAAAACGTTTCGATTGATGAGTTTAAAAAGTAAATATGTTATATATATTCAATATTGGTTTCTGTTTCAACGTTATTTCCCTCGGACAAATATTGTTCATCAATACTTACTTCGCAATTACTTTACGAAGGTGCTTATGGAATGTCTGTCTTGATCTTGGCGTACAGTTGTGTGTCAATTTGCGCTTTTTGAATGGCCAAACTGTCGAAACCAGGAGCGAATTAACACTAAAGCCAATTGGGGAGCGTTCTGTGAGTTTATTGCGAAGGTGAAAAAAAACAAAAATTTGATCCTCGAGATAAGAACGAGCAATATCAGCGGATTTCGTCTAGTGTACTGTATGAATAAAGAAATTCAATAAAACTGGTGAGACAATTGAAGCTTCTTTCAGAACCAGATAACAACATACGATATATTTTGTATTTGTTATATAATTACTGGCCACTTTCGATGTACAAATTGAGCAATGATAATTTTTTACATGGTTTTTTTTACTGTCTTTGTTTCCTTCTCTATTGTATTATTATTAATTGATAAAAATAGTTTATTTGTTTTTACATTTAAGGCGTTATATTACATTAACAATGAATTTCAAGTGACTTCTGTCTGGTTTAAAATACTGTTTTTCACATATTTTTTGGATATTAAGGGGACACTGACAATGTGTTGCGGGTAGTATTTACAATGCATGGGGGGTGGAAAGGTAACTTTTTTTTAACGAGGGTTCGCAACAGCAGAGGTTATATCAACCCTCGGGGTGCCGGTGTTTTTGAAAAAAGCCCATTTGTAAGTATGTCGGTTTCGAATGCAGGGCCGCTGGATTCGAACCCGGGACCTTTACCTAACAGTGAGCGCCATGTCAACGCCTAAACTGTTGCGGCCACCGACGGCCCTTAAAAGGTACATTTTCGCAGTAACTACTGGGCCATTTTTGGTGAAATTTGGTACACATGTTTCTCTATTATTACACTCAAGTTTAACCCGAGCTTTTTTGAAACTTCTCGTCTGAAAAAAAATCTACAGCAAGAAAATTTAAGATAAAAATAAGAAAAAAATAAAAGCTCTCAGAAGTGTTTAAAGACCTTTTAAGTTACCACATAAAAAATTTGAAACGCACATCTAAAACGGGTTGGCAGATTTTGTCCCTTTTGTGTCAAAATACCTTACTTTTCAGGGCGGCTATTTTTCTGACTTATTCTTCAAAAGTGACCAAGATGGCCTCATCTCTAATTTTCTTTTTTCTATAACATTATAATTTTGAAGGCTGACCAATGACTATATCGATTGTTAATTAACATAAATAACTAATTTTTCAATCAATGTCCGTGTATAAGAATTAAACCAAAACCAAATAAATCATAGTGAATATTGTCCAGTATTGTTTTCTACTGCTGATAACTGTTAATAAACCCTCTATTTCCATCCATTGGCTTTAAAAAAGAGTCCTTTGAATTTTCGTGAAATGCATCGACTACGATCAGAGGGTACTAATCGATCATTCACTCACACACTGGGGCAATAGTTAAAGAATTATTTGTAAAACTACTACACTATTCTTGTTTTAAATTCTCAGCCTTGTTTGATTTTTATGGGCGTGAATTCGTCGAATTATTGGACTGAAAATCGCCAGGATGTAGTGACGCCTCGTCGGAAAAACTGGCCAATTTCTCACGGTCACTAGGGAAAGGAAATGACCTGAACCGTTTCCTGATCAAACAACAGTTCTAGTTTGAGTTTTTGTACTAGGCCGATGTTAGTACATATTTAAATTGTATCGACTATCACTTTTACAAGACTGGTTATATTGTTTACAATGGTAACTTAGTTTACTTAAAATTCATTCAAATATGTACCAAAAAAACTGAATTTGTATAGAAAAATGCCCAAAAAAGCACTTTCAAAAACCCAGATCAACCTCTTAACCCAGGCAAAATTTACATAAATGGAAGGAGCCAAGATTTCTTGCTTCTCCCCGTTTACGTCCTGATGCTGTCGCTATTTGACTAGGATACTTAGACTGCGAATTTTTAGTTTTTAAAGGATAAAAATTGAGTTTCTAGTAGGATGTGAAGTTATTGCATTTTATTACGTGAAATCGTTATATTTGTTTGTAATTTCAACGCTGGTATATGCTGAAAACACTAGTCTATAAGATCAGCTTTATATTGAATTATTTGAAAGCGCTCGCCGAGATTTGTTTACTGCCACTCGCAGAACACAGCAAAAAAATATTTATATTGAGAAGAAGAATTCAGCTTGCTTGAATAGTCACATCAGTGCCACAGCTACAGTTCCTACAAAAGGTAGGGTTGAAAGCGAAGATAGTATTCTAGGTATCAGCTGATTTGGAACACGCGGTGAACTTCTGGAACCCCTTGATTTTGCTGAGTAACTCGGGATTATAGCTCAAAATTGGGATTTGAAACGCCAGCGAAATCCGTGGTCTTGTAAAATTTTGTTTGACCCTCTCAAACCAATGTGATGTCTGCACAAATTTCTTCTGAAGCCCGAAAAATAGCTTATATCGGGGAAGAACCATTGTGTATATCAAAGGAGAATGCGTATTTTTGGACAAAACTACAGGTTCAACACTCAGCACGCCACAAGAGGGACACAAATATGCCAGAGGGAGCTTTGCATTTAAGATATATATTTAATGCGGTTCATGGAGTTTTAAAATCTCATTGTCAAAACGCACGTCCTGGATCAACCCGAATAATCTCATACACACTCGAAAAATTTTCAATGGAAGGAGCTAAGACCTGCTTAAAGACCTGGCTAAGTTGTTTGATAAGGAGATTTCGACGCTTAGGCTAGGAAATTGTTTCTTAATTAATACCAAATTCAAATCATTAAAAGCGGATGACAATAATAAAGACAATTTTTAAAACCAAAGCAGTTTGCGATTATGTGATGTTGACGAAATTAGAAGAAGCGTTGGAAATGCGCTCTGCTTATATATCTGACATTTATAACTTTATGTACTGACATCTCGTCATTCTTTTCCAGGCAATGGTATTTTTGACGGACAAACTCCACGAGAACCTTCCCAAAAACCAAATAGCATGAAAAAAGTGAATAGCTTATGATAACAAAGAATACGTGCAGTTAAATAATTAGAAAATTTATAAATATTTTTGAAAGGTGGGCACGTGGTGAGCGCGGGTGTTTATAAGTATCTATTTTAAATTAGGATAACGAACGAGAGGTTTCCGTCACCACTTTAAAATTTCATTTAAAAAAATAATAATAGAGCAAAATGAATATGTTTTATGTGATTTTTTTTTTTTTTTTTTTTTTTTTTTTTTTTTGAGGGGTCCTTTACTGTGCTCTTTAAGGACGTGTATTATCTGTTCTGTACCTGTACTTATTTCCTAAGCCGAGTGTTCTATTATTTATAGTATTTCTTCACCATGCAGTAGCACTCCTCTAGTATCATGGTGTATTGGGATTTCCACTGCACCTGCATGCTGAATCTACACCGACCGTGTCGATAAGCCCAAACTTTCTCAAATTTCCTTAAGCATTTAGACTGCAGTCCCGAGAAAATTCGGAGACTCTTCCTGCCTCCATTGATCTATTTAGTAGTTTGGTCATTGTTTCCTTACTACCACTTTGTCCTCTTTTCTAAGGTTCTTTCGTAGTATATATATTTAGTATGGATCCCTATACCATGAAGGGCTAGGGTTGTTGGGTTCGTTTCTCTGTAAACCTTCATGTCGTGGAAACTATTAGAAAGTAAAAACTCAGAGTTGTATACATAATCTGTTAAGTGTTTTCTGGCTATATGCCATGATAGGTATGTTGGTTTTATTTTCTGTTAAGAAAGAATGGTACTTATCCCTCTATCGCATGGATCTAGCCTCCATTTTGCAATATTGGAAAAGAATCTTCATGCCCTTGGATTCCTGGTATGGGCAGAACGATCCTACCACAAAATATGGCAAAACGCCGGGTCTGACTCAACCAAAAAAAGGCAAGGATTGTCGGATCAGGGATGACCGGAAGCAACCAAATTACCACGCAGACCTCAAGAGGGAAGACACCATTCTAGAGTTGATCACTGCTCGACTCTCTGACATGGTACTTCTTTACTTCTTTGGCTTTGCATTCTCGGTTCAGATTAATATCAGTACATCTCTCAATTCCATAAACTTCGCCTTGAAAAATACTGTTTTACCAATGGACTGCGCGCACTTAATTTTAGTACCCTTGTTCCTCTTTCGTTTTAGATACATTGCTATACTTGCAGATAGTTCGTATTTTGATTCACAGAACTTTTGTACTATCCTAGTAAATGCAAATATATAATTTTATTTTTCTGATTGATGCAATGGTTATCCAATTCTGGAGTGAAAAATTAAGGAAGACATTGATCGATGGGTGAAAGAAAAAAGAAAGGCGGAAGAATTACCAGACAGCGGTAAGTCCTTTTTCGATCAACCCTGTCAGGACCTGCTTCAATAACATATCTCCGCGCTTTCCTACCGATTTAATTTGTTCAGTAGTTGTATTTGTTTTATTGTTATAAGTGTAATAAAAAGACACGCTTTTTTTGCAATGCTTAAGCCGCTAACATCAATTAAGATTTTAATAAACAAAAGTATAAAGGATTTTTCCAATTAAACGTTTGATTATTTCGAGTGCGTCTTATCAAAGCGCTGCAAGTGGTACTTGAGCGATCGCGTGTTACCGCACATATTTGATTTTTCTACCGGATTCGGTACTTGAGGTGTGGTGGTACATTTTCAAAATGTACGCCATGTAGTTGAAGAGCTGTTTAGTAAATCGTCATAAAATGTGCGTTGCTATGCTGCTGGCTCGTTCTGTTCTAATAGCCCGTTACAAAACACGACTCGCGAATGCCGGAAAAGTCTATTGAATCTACATTTAAAGAACGACGTCAAACTGCTTGGTCAATTTATAAGAATGGCCCATCTTTTTAAAAAATTCAAGATAATACAATTATACAATAAATAGAATTGGGAATAAGAGGGATAAATATTTTCTTCCATTTCTTAGATTGGACTTCATTGAGGAAACAGTTCAATCAGTAATATACACCACAATCACATGTCTATTATTAAAAACAGCGGGACGTTGGTACGAGAAAGTTAGTATAAACAAAATTTGAGGATCACAATCATTAAAATCTTAGTTAGTTGTTGTTCTAGTAAGGAAAATAGGAAATTTTTATTGTAAAATTTACTGATTTACTGATTATTTGGAGATCGTGAGATGCCGTCTGGTGTGACGTGCCAACGTTTCGACCTTTATTGAGATCGTCTTCAGGACTGAAAGTGTTTTCGGTGTAGATGTGTCATTCTTGTGTGTCGTGTTGAAA